TCTACTGTGGCGATTATAATAGCGATATCTGTTAAGAGTAAGTCAGTGATTTCAATGAAGACTTACTTATATTTAACAACTGACATCACAGGACATTCATTTTTTAAACTGCTTCTTTAATGACAATGTTTAGAGTAGGAGATTTGATTAGAATCTAGCTATGACTTTTTCTGCTTCCTATGAACAAACACTATTGGATACAGTTATCATAGACACTCTGATAAAACTGTAATTAACCACTAATGCATTTAGCTCTTAATACTTGTTTCAAAATCACAAACAACCTCTGAAATTATTTTCCTCCTCTATATTACTCTTCAAAATGTTGGTTCTATATTTTAATTATAGAAGAAAAGGGTTTTATTATGGCATTTCCATACATGAATATAATGTGCATTGCTTATAGTCACATCTTTCCTACACACTGAAGGTGAACCTTTAGAATGTGTTAATAGCGGCCAGAATATTTAAAGAAAGTTAAGTATGTGAGCTCCAGTGGATAAATAATATGATTTTGTCACCTAAAGAAATGATAAAAAAAAAAAAGAATTTAGCTGGGTTTTCTTCTCATCCAATGGATCAAACATTTAAATTCGCTTTATTGCAAGTAAAGATTTAATATTGATATTTTTTTTACTCATAAATCTTACTGTCCAGTTTATCAAGACTAATTGCATGAGGTGGGTGCTTAGTCCTGTTTAAAGTTTTATAGATGATAACAGAGAATTATGGTAAATGTTTCCTATTAATCAAATGTTTTTTTCAGGGAGTTGACTTACTGAGTAAAAGAAAATATATTCAATCAAATGTGTAACATGCCTATACTGTGGGTGAACAAGAAAGAAACACCAGGACAACAAAATTATCATGAAACTTTCTTTGTAGAGTTAGAAAGAACAGCACCCTCCAGTAGAAGTAAGTAGGAGAAGGTAGAAAGCAAAAGTTGCAGATATGAGAATCAGTAGAAACTAAGGTGTGAAATGGAGAACACTGGTCCAGGGGGAGGGTTAGAGCTAAAGAGCCTACAGATGCAAATAAGGGATCTAAAATAGCATGGTAGAAGACCAGAAAAGAGTGCCACTACAGAAAAATTTGTAGTATAAATTCACCTAGATGCTAGAAGCATGGTAATGATGGGAAAAATTGACCTGACCCTTTGGTTTAAGATATTGTTGCAATTGCTTGTTGAAAAACAGTATCAGTGCACCCATCTCAATTCAAGCAGGAAATGATAGCTTCATAATTTCTCACTTTGTATGTGTGCATTAAACAAATGATGCTAATAATTACCTATCAATATACATAGATCTTGCCTGGAGTCAGATAATTTTGTGGCACTCTCATCTTTACATAGGATGTGAAACTGCAATTAACAAGTCTATGTTACCGATTATAATAAAAATGCTATTTAAATGCAACTGGTATCCAAACCTTAGAATAAACCAAATTATAAATTAATTCTTACAAACTTCTCAATTTCAAGTATCTATGGTAAAGATGAATGTACGTTTTAGGATGTATCATTAAATTGCTTTCTAAAACATCTAATATGTTTTAGAGTTAAATAATCAAGAGGCAATTATGTGAAGACTTAAAGAAAAATGATAACTATGTAATCATGATGGTAAATAATGTTGATGAATTAAAATTACATTTTATATGGTAATTGAAATGAAATACTATTAAATATTAATGATTGATATTGAAAAAGAAGAAGCTCTAATTATGGCCATTATCTATTATATAAAACAACTGAAGTCATTTTAGCCTTTGATTACTGGGATCCAAGGAAAAGAAATCTATGGTTCACTCAGCTATTTCCAACATTTATCATAAAACTACGTAACATTAGAAGATCCTTGGGGATGACTAAGTTTGAAATTCTGACATCCGGTGCCTACTCAAACATAAACCACCTCTCTGTGGGATTAAAATTACTTTTAAAGGGTATTAACACATTCCATCATGTGCACGTTGGAATTTTTACTATAATAATAGAATAATGTGCTGAATCAGCTCTGCTGACTCTAAGTTCTCCCAAGGAGTTTTATTCTGATGCACAATTTCTACTTTGTTGACCAAGATGACCTGGAATAGGGTCAAATGTCTTTTGATAACAGATTCTGTTTTATGAACTAAAATGGGAAATCCTATGGGGCAAGTCATTTGTTTATTTATGAGCTTCTGCCATTATCTCAGAAACATACCAACTAAAAAACACTGTATTATTCTAGGAGACAATACAACAATTGTTAGCATTGTTTAAACATTAACAGGGGTGGGAGCCTTATTTCAATAATTTATAGTATCTTTCCTTCTTATAAAACAAAATATTTTCCTTTTAAAATATAAGCTAGTTACAATTAACTACAACTCATCCTGTTTAGTCTAAAACTAATTTTAACTCTGAGATGATTTAGATCTGTATTGCTTATAAATAGGCAAAAAAGTTTTCATATAAAATGCATTCCATATGTTAAGAAAAATAAGTAAAGTTTGAATTAATATGCATATTAGAGTTTAGTCAACAAAGAAATTATCACAGCAGGGCATATCCCCCTACAAGAAATGCTCTCTTAAACTCTGAGATAATAGATGTAATTATTCATATAATAATGTCAAGGTTAGTCAGTTTTTCTTCCTATCTCAACACACCTAAAATAAATAACTTTGTAAAAATGGGAGATTTATTTTTGCTCCTGATTTTACATTTTCTGTCTCATGTCACTTGACTTCATGTTTTAAGTCCTGTGGTAAAGCAGTAACATGACATAGTGGCAAGCTGGAGGAAAGCTTCTCACATCATGGAAGCTGGGAATCATAGAGATGGGGAATGAGGAAGGGGATTGGACATGATGCAGCTTTCCAGAATACCTCCCAGGGACCTCCTCCTTCCATCCAGACTCTACCTCTTGGTCTCGCTCCTCAGCCTTCAATAATTTCATCAAATATAAGTCAAATATGTATTGGGTCAAAATTCTAATGATTAGTTCACTTCCAACAGAAGCCACTGTGGGACATTTCAATTCCAGTCTATAGCATTTATAATATATATATAATATATATATATAAAACATATATAATATATATATTAATATGTTTTTCACAAAAGTAAATAATCTCAAATAAATTCTGACAGATTTATTGCCTTCACTGTTTGTTAATTATAATTATAATGATCATATCTAAAAATTAGGATCATTCTTAATCTTTAACCAATCCAGTCATCAATATGGGGAAAAGATCAAGTTTCTTTTAGTTTAATCAATTTTTCCATATGAAAAAATGAAAGAGAAAAAAGATAAGTACTAAATGTGCTCTTTAGAAGAAAAAAAATCACTATAGGATAGTTTTATATTTCAGACAAAGGGATAAAGAGCTAAAAGGTGGAGAGAAAGAGAGGTAAGGGAGACAAAGTTGGGAGAGTGGCAGACAGGCAGCCACAGAACACAGAGAAGCATACCTGTTGAAAAAGATGCACTAACTTTTATTAAATACATGTACAGTTTTTATTAACATATATAGGGAAATGAAAGATAGGAAACAATGGTGAATGAAAGAGTAGTGGGTGAGGAAAAGCAGAACCTAGATAAAATACTACAGTTAGAGAAGTTATAAAAGAATATGGAATGTAGAAGATAATAACTGGATAAAGGATGGTATGATTAGAAACAAAGGAAGAGAAACCACAGTGTAGGAATTAAAGTATTATGCAATAGCATGTTTGTGTGTAAAAATATGTAAGTATCCATTACAGTTTAAGAGAAAATATAAAGAATCTTGTAGTATATAAAACAACAAGAAAACTATAGAACAATAAAAATTCACGTAATTTTATGGATGAATAAACATACATTATTTTCACCTATGTACCTAAATGAATAAAACTTAAGACAAAAGAAGTTTCATCTATTGGCAAGTAAAATGTATTCTTATAGCATGATCTTTGTTCAACATAATAATGCAATATATCATTTCAATGTAGTTGATTTTCATAATTATTTATGTTCAAATATTGACAGCTTCATTGAGGGATATAAAATTTAAACTTTGAGTTTAAAGCCTATCTGTATTTTCTTGTTACATTACATAGGGGAAAATCGCTTAACTCCTATAACTATTCTCATCTGCAATGTGGAATAATTGCAGTCAGCACTTTATAGACCCCCGAGAACATTCATTCCTAATATGAACAAGTCCCTAGCATGCATTATACCATATCAATACTGTTATCATCATTACTTTCCATTTTGTGTGCAAAACATACAAAATTAAAAAGATGTGTTAAATGATGAAAAAAGCTATGTATTTTATGTTCAATACTTCTTTCAGAAGGGAAATAAGACTTATATGAAAGTAAATGTGATTTCATTTTAAAGGAAAAAAAAGATGCTAAATGATTATACAAGTCAAAATGAAGGTCAAATTAGTGTGTGAGCCATTTAGTACATGAGTAAGTGCCCTGCTGGCTTTCTGCTGCTGTTATGATGAATAGCAAATGACAACAAACTGGGGTTAAAACAGGATTGATGCATCACCTTACAGTCTGGAAAATGAAACCAAAATAAATATTAAAACATTGTGGTGCTGAAATCAAGATTGCATCCTTCTGGAGATTCTGGGGAAATCTATTCTTTTGCTTCTTCTTGTTCTTATTCTTTGACTTGTAGATATATCCTCTCTCTTCTGTAGGAGATAACATACTTTACAAGCCTGAATAAAATGCCTTTTGCTGTTGGTCCATATAAGTGTGACTCCATTTAGATCTCACTGAGATTATATAGGACAGCCTCAGAAACCTTAACCTTCACTGCAAATTCATTTAGAGAATATAAGGTAATATTTATTTTCTAGGAAATAGAATGTTGTTATCTCTGGATCACACCATGACAAGATAAGAAGTAGAAGGAGAGAAGGAGACACTAGAATGTTCTGCAAGATTTAATTTTAAATATTTATAAATGTTTGGTTTACAACATAAAATTCCATTGTCATTTTAGGTGTCTTAAATGTATATCTACGTTTGAAAGGGCAGACAACAATAGAGAATCCTCTGTGGTCTTCAAGTGGGAATAAAGGACAACGATGGAATGAGGCTCATGTTAATATATATCCAATTACTTCATTTCAGGTAAGAAATAACTTTGTTCATATTACTGTGTATTGAATGCAATGCTAAATACGTATCCTAAAGAAGCAATAAATAAGATTAATAATCAGAAATTCTGTATAAAACAAATAAAAATCATGTATTTTAGTTTCTCTTCAGTTTGAAAAGCTATTTTAAAAATGTCTATTAACATCCATAAAATAGCATATAGAAAAATAATCTATAAAAACACTAGTTATTTCTAGGCATAACAGTACATGCCTTTAATACCAAAACTTGGGAGTCAACGACCAGTAGATCTCTGAGTTTGAGGCTACAAAGCATGTTCTAATACAACCAGGCCTACACCAAAAAACTCTTTCTCTGGAAATAACAAAACAAAACAACTCAAAGTTTTTGCATAACCATCCATTTCCATAGAATCACTTGCATATATTTTATTCTCTATAGAAAATAATACAGATCTTCACACTATCCATTTGCAGAATAATTATTGATGGAATTTCAAATACATTTTTCACCTCAGTCATTTATCACTTCAAAATCAAAATTTTTTGATAATATTTTTATTTAAATTTGTAACAAGCTTGTTTTACATGTCAATCCCAATTCCCTCATACTCTGCTCCTCCCCTGTCCCCTCCCAGACCCCATCTCATCCCCTTTCTGCTCCCTGGGGAGGGTGAGGCCTTCCTTGGGAGATCTTCAAAGTCTGTCATATCACAAAATCAGAATATTTGAACAAATTATTTAACTTTCTGTTTGAAGTTAGACTTCAGTTGAATACCAAAAAGTCATCTATAAAGATATCAAAAAATTTAAATGACTTAATGTTTGTAATTGACATTAGAAATTTTAAGAACAATTATAAAAGATGGTATACCTACAAGCTAGTTTCATAAAGTTGGCAGCATAGTTTTTGTGATTTAAGTAACTATATCAACATATGTACATAAGTGCGTATGTGTACCTATATTTTCATATATTTCTAGCCAACATAAACCAAGGTATTTTTATTTCTTTAAAATAATAACATATCTTTAAAATCTAATCATGTTTAAAGAAGTCTATTGTTTTATTCTTATTTTGAAAGGAATAAAATGCACTCAATGATAGCATATGTGCACATAATGGCATACATTTAAGGGTTCAGAGAATCAGATTGATCCATTTTATTGTAAAATCCCTTTTATTGTAAAAATCCCTTTTCCCATAATTTGGACAATTATGACTGAGATTACTTCTAAATCTAACAACGTTGATAAAATGAATAGATTTCTTTATAAGAGCAGAGGGTAAGGAATTAATTAAAATGTCTTGGAATCATCTATCTATGCATGTAACAGAATCATTCTGCATCTGTGAAGGATATACAATTGTAAAAACTGAAATAACAACCTGGGAAGAGAGGATTCAAAGCACAACTCATACTCAAGTGTGTGGTGTGTGGTGTGGTGTGTGTGTGTGTGTGTGTGTGTGTGTGTGCATTGAAGATTATTTTTCTAAAAATGTTGATTTTTCTATGTTTCGCTTCCCACGTGGGCTACCTCTTCATCAGAAATGATTAAACACATACACAAGAAGGATTTAAGTTATAGCAATGTTACAATCAAGACAATACTGTATTGGCATTATATCAATTTAATAAACACCTGTTTAGTGCCTACAGGACAGTCCTTTTTTTTTCTTTAGTTATTAGTATTACAAAAAAGTTGAGCCTAAGGACTAAATAGAATTTTTATTGTAAGAGATCCTGGGAGCTAACAGAGGAAGGAGAGAGATCTCAGGATATACTTAGATGAACAGGAGCAGAAAACTTTTCATGGATACAATCTTGAAAGCATACATTAATGATATTTGGCTTACAAAGTGTTGAATAATGCTTTAACTATGGGTTTATTTAGATTGTAAAAAGGGTGGGGGGAAAGAGAACAGATTTGGGGACATATATGGTTTCTCTGTTTTAAACATGTTCATAAGAATGCCTGAGAGAAGATGTTGGAATTACCAGTGTGAAGTTTTGAAGACAAGGGTATGTCTGTGTCATCAGATTATACCTCTTACTGAAAACTGCCTGAATAGTTGATGTTAGCAAGCATACTGAGATGAGCACATCAACAATGCAATCTTACCAAACAATTCACAAAGAGGAACTGTGACAGACATACTCCTCCTAAGTAGTATATTAGAGAAAAAAAAAAACTCATAGAATTAGAGAGAGAGAGAGAGACTCAAATTAGAAAAGAAGTAAATTACTGGTAGAATGTCCTGTCTTGAAACATAATTTGTAAAATTCTACTTTCATGAGAAATAAAATTAATATATACATAAATACATATATGTGTACACACATATATATGTATACACATACACACATACATACACACATACACACACACACACACACACACACACACACACATATATATATATATATATATATATAATTTGTAGAAGATAATTAACAAGCTTAGGTTTTAGTTATTTCACAGAGATAGAAGTTAAAATTTATATGGGATACAGTGTCAATTATAATCTTTTTCTCTCAACATTCAGCTGAAAGTTTCCTTTAATGACCCCTATATGCATGGAAGAGTACATGCAGGCAGTTAGGCAACAAGGCATGTTTACTTGAAGATCCTGTCTTGATTTACTGCTTTGCACATGTGCTAGAAAAGTACTCTCCAACCAGGGTCTGGATCTCCTCACTACTGGGATCCAGGATCCACCATCACAGTCCACCTGCAAATTTTGACTCACCAGAAAGACAGGCTCTTAGCTGACCTCAGAGGACCCAAACACCAGAAATGGAGCTGCTGTTGTTTTTTCCAAAGAGGATGCACTAACAAAGGCAGTCTTCCTCAATTTGTTCAATCGCTGGAGCATTCCAGTGATATTGTTGGCAATTTGCAATTCGTGAAAGCCTGGGTAAGCTCTTCAGGGAAATGGTACTGGGTATAGCCATGGAGCCAGACATCCTTATCAAAATTCTCCCCCAAATATGCCAGCACCACAGAGCAGGCATCCTCGTTGGATAAATTCATCCAACAGGAAGGTATTCTTGGGCAGGCACGTGAGCTAAGGGGCCCCTGGCCTTGGGCTCAGCTGCCAGTGCCTACTCAAATTCACCCACTCCTCAGGAGCTGAGGCAGCTGCCTCTATTCTTCTTTCCACTCAGCCTGGGGCTTCTGTTTCTCTCCCCATGAACCCTTTTTTCCTCTGGGGCATCCTTTTTAGGCTGGCTTTCTGCAGACTTCTTAGCATTAAACTGGGCCATCTTTGCACACAACATCCCTTTCCCAAAGAGAGCCCTGAAAAGAGTCTGGTTAATGCAGGTAAGAAACCAGCCTTTGTTACTGTGGAAAAGAAGACTCTAAACCCTGCTTACAGAGCCACAGCAGGGTGCGGACAACTGTAATATCAGCCAGTGATACTAGCTTACCAGTATGGAAATTTCTCCCTTTCAAGAGAGCATCCAGCAGCCTTATCTCCTCTTGTGCATTTTCAGTTTCTGGGGTGCAGTGACTTGGCCAAGTAGAAGTGGGTGGTGCAGAGAGAATGCAGACCTGATTCCCAGTGTATTGAGCCCCTGAGGCCCTCCAGTTTCCAGGATATTTGTACAGGGTCCCAGCCATCATGGTAATTCTAAAGAGAGGAGTGTGAGGAATTTACACGAGAGCACAAGGAAATTAGAGAAAAAGAAATAACAGTCTTAGCTAAACCCCTTTCGATATTCAGAGTTAATTGAACCGCCTGCAGGAAAATAATAAATTGTAATATGATTTATTCAAATAGATCTTTTCATCTATCAGTTCTTCACGTTAAGGGAAGCATAGGGTTTGCTTATTAGATAATGTTTTTGCAAAATATCTAGTTCATTATCCAAGGGGCAGCATAGAGAATGTAGATAGCAGTTGCCCCTGCAACCTAAGTGATAAGAAGATTCTCACAGGGGCAGAGACGAGATCTGAGCTAGACATAGCAGGCTTCCAGTATCAAGTCCCCTTTCCTTCTGATGTGGCCAATCTCAGGCCACCAGATCCTGTTTCTCATAACTGTTGGTTAAAAGAAGGAAATTCACAGGAATATGTAAAAAAGGAATGCACAGAGAGATATTTAAGAATGTTAAAATTAATCAAACTCCTTCATAGTGCTCTATGTAAGCCTTAGAGAAATTCTCTCTGCTATACTTTGCTCTACTTCTGATATAAAAGGCAGTTTGTGTCTGTTCAGTCGGTTATCAATGCACTTTCCATTCCTTCTTTTCCTAGGACGTTTTCATAGATTTATAGCACTGGAAAGTCTCCACTTTCATCTGCTATCAGTTGTGATTGGCCTGAAGGACTTCATTTGACATTTCTTGAAGTATGGTGTCTGTTGAGGATGGATTCTTTTCACCTTCTGTACTTTAAAAAAATTGTCTTGTTTACCTTCATTTTTCAAAAAAAAAAATTCATTTCCTCTAGGTATAGCTTAGTGGTTTTTCTTTTCGAACGTACACGATGTCCGTTGTTTCTGTATTCTTTCCAAGTATGAAGCTTTGGCTACACACACATTTATTCTTCTCTCTATTGAACAAGCTTCCTTCTCCGAGATCATTTAAGGTTTTTCTCCTTATTGCCTTCCTTCTCTGAGATCATTTAAGGTTTTTCTCTTTATTGCTGGTTGTAAGAATTTTGATTCTGATGTGCGTTGGTGTATCCTTTTTCTGTGTACTCTTAATTTACAGAACTTCCTGGCCCTGTGAGTTCATCATTATATGAAAATTGAGGAATATATGGCTGGTTTCTCCACATTGCTTTATTCCCCATTCTGTCCTTTCAGACTCCTCTTTAAAAATTTGTGTTTGTTTGGTGTGTGTGTGTGTGTGTGTGTGTGTGTGTGTGTGTGTGTGTGTGTGTGTGTGTAGGAGGGATTTCAAGACAGGATAGCCTGGAACTGGCTCTGTAGACCAGACTGGACTCAACTCAGAGCTTTACCTGCCTCTGCCTCTACCTCCCTGAGAGCTGGGATTAAAGGAAT